AATTACTAGTAACTGTTATATCTCCAATACCAGTAATGGATCTAGACAAACATTTCCTTCACCTCTAAATTCTCCCACTTATTCATCAATTATACATGTAAACCAGCAGCTTTCTCAAAAATCTACCATTTTACATTCTGATGGAAATTGATCTGCATAATAATGTTATTCATGATAGTGATGCTTTCAATCACAGTGTATTCACGGAACAGTTTTTTTTAAGTTTTAAAAAACTTAAATATCATGGACAACCACTCTATACTTTAAACAGAAGGAGAAATAACCCCACATAATGATAATCAGGGGCAGATCCAGAGATATTTTCTGATAGTCTTCCAAATAATTTTTGTTGATCCATCCATTTTTGACCATCTTCCGACAGAAAAAAATTAGATACCGATCAATGTAAAGTTGAAAATCTGAGCGTCTTCCGGGAGACCCAGAAGACAGCCCCATTCCGCCTCTGATAATGTAGCTATTATAATAAACATACGTGGGGTAGGCCTTGACTTCCTGGTCAGAGCAGAGGGCAGTCTCAGCAGTACAGTCCACCTTGGCTATCAGTACCTCAGCAGTGGACGGGTCAGTGTTGAACTTGACGGCCAGCTCGTCCCATACTGGACTGAGACGCTGGCAGTGACCGCACCTGTTAACGATTAATTAATGGATTCAATCAAAGGGATGATAGTCTGATATTGTAGACAGGCCTGTAGCCCGCAATTTCAAGGAAGAGTTCTTTTTTTTTTTTTTTTTTTGTTACTGTGGACCGTTTACTGCGAAACCTTTTTGTAATTAGATCAATTTTTATCTGGAGTGGGCCTTTTTGGCAAAAAAGGGTGGTTCTTTTGAAACCTTGAAACAGGCTAAGGGCCTGGTAAATGACAAATATGTTCAAATTTTTTTAATTTTCTAACTAGCACCTGGTTAAGCATACTTGAAACTGATGAACTGATCTGTAGTCAGCATTTTGACAAGGGTGGGGGATATTTTTTACCCCCTAAGTTGACCCAACCTGAGAAATGGTATATAACCTTGATCATATAACCTTGATCAAATCATGATCCAATCTGGTTTGAAATCTACACTGAAGATAACACCTGCATGCAAGGCAGTTTACCAGTAATAAGAAGCTGGTAAAGTAGACTACATTATAATCACCACAAATCATCACACTAATTGCCCTCATAGTCCAGAATCCCATATATACAGTAGCATGGAATCTAATGTTCACCAGTTGTACAATACACAACTTATCATAAGTGTGCCCTGAGTGTCAGGGCATTATAAAGCTACTAGTAGCTTGCTCACGTACTATACCTTTACATGTAGTAGCTTTAATGAAATCAAAGTTGATCTGGCAATACTGAAATCTAGAACTTAGGGTATATATGTGAAGCAATATATAATACATACTAGTAGTTTATTATCATCATCCAAACATTAACATATTAAAATATTTTAAGAAAGCTGCAAGTCTATGAACATTCCATACTGAAGGTGAAAGATCACCATGACTGTGTACTTACTGACCTCACAGTTTACAGTTGTCCATCTTTAATGTACATACAGTACTAGTACAGTTACTTTATTATGCTAATTTCTATTCTGTTACTTGCACTCAATTTGCTTTTCATTTCCTCGTCCATTACTTTTTTCTTCCTATAATTCGACTTTATCATGTCTATTTTTTTTTTTTTTTTTTGCTTCAGTTGTTTGTCTTATTCCCTCAATAACAAGTAAAAAAAACAAAAAAAAAAAAAAACAAAAAAAAAAAAAAAACATTGAATGAGACTGGAGAAATGCAGCAGAGTGAAACACATCAAGTTACTAGGCATGCCAATGTTGGTTAGCCAAGCTTTGAGCGAAACATTAAGATTTTATCTACACTCTACAAAATATTTCATACACTGCTGTGTTTGTTATAACACAGGGGAATAATCATTCAGTCATGAGGTTACCATTCAGAAGTTTCAATGAACCTACTAGTAATGAGTTAAAGGCCAAATAACGCATTTCTTGGTGTATATATATATATATATATATATATATATATATATATATATATATATATATATATTATCAAAATAACTTGACCCAAGGATGGGCCTCTAGGGACGTATGTTTTGACAGCACCCCTAGCTCTTCAAGAAAAAAAAATTCCCCAGCTTGCAGACCATTCAATGATCTATCCCCGCACTTGGATTGGATGTTTTAGATATTTCAAATGGAAAGAAAATCTAAATTATTCATAATTGTGTTCCAATATCAGATAATTTTAATTGAACTTTTTTTTTTTTATTTATTTAAATTTAAAGTTTGAATTGGGTGGGATCAGTAAGTTAACTGATAGATTTTAGTGTTATTTAATTAGATATAACAATATGACTTTAGGGCATTTTCAAAAAGGCTCAGTATATATTTGTGTGATATATCCAAGTATACGGTTGGTGAAAAAATACCTAACAGTATCAGTGCGTACAGGTCCATTTGAGCCATTTCGACTCGAGCAAGTCATGTATGAGCCACCTGTCGACCAACTTACCACGGCGCGAAGAACATTATGAAATGCGCTTTCTGAGGAACCTTATCGTCAAACATCACTTTGTTGTACTTAAAAGCCTTTGTCCCATGGTCATCGTCGGCAGAATTACTGGAAATCGCCAACAAGAGGCACACTAAGATTCCTCGAGAGACCGCCAGCGTCATGGTTGTAAAGAGGGGAGGAACGTTTACAGCATTCAGTTAGGCAGTATCATAATTTCCGATTCAATGTATAGTTAGGCAACAACTTTGTTTTTATCTAAATTGTGTAAGTTCTCCCATAACATATGTATTAGAAGTTACAATATAAGTGAACTGTGTTTATTTTGTACATAACTTGACTATTTATGAATGATACACCATTAACGTGATATTGCATATCTCGGCTCTCTGACCTTCAAGATGTACTTCCGGGTCATGGCCTTTTCCACCATATTGGTTCGAGAAGTGTACTGTCCTCCAACGAGCTAAGGCCGAATCGGCGACATACACTGTCATTTCAAGCCATCCGACAGGATAACAAAAACAAACTACAAGAATGTCTAGCAATGATGAATTAGCTTGCACTTACAGTGCTCTTATTCTTGCTGATGATGATGTACCGATCACGGTAAGTTGATGTGTTCACAACTAGCATTTCACATGCATGACATGCTTAAGTACCTACTGCGGCAGATATTTACTTAAGTTAGTGCCTAAATTTACCTTGCTCACATGGAAACCCGATGAAAACCGTCGTCTTCTATCCCCCGTATGGCTTTGCCTGCCTTGCCACTTAAAATCTCAGCCAA